ACTATTCTTCTACTTATCAAAGTTTACTGCAAAACTGTATGCCCCGCTCTGCAGCCTCATACATCCTGTAGTTACAGCATCTCCTGGTGGAGCCAAGGGGCCAAGTGGAGTGATTGCCCTATGGCACCCACATCACACCACCACCAAATCACAGACAAGGCATATCTCAGAGGGTCTCACTGCCACCAAGCGAGCAATGCCGGTAGATGTGTGTGTGCTCACATGCGTAAAAGCACTGCCCTGAGTTCACACTCATAGACACCAGAACAAGCCATCAGGCTTTGTTTTTCCATGTTCAGTTGTGTTTCAAGGGCATCGGCTGCCCTTGGGCCAGCCTCTCTGCAGGTGTGCTTGCTCAGGGACAGTGCAGCAGCGGGAGGGCTGGCCTCTCTCAATTCATCCCCAGCCCAGGTTAATAGCCTAGTGCACAGCTGTCAATCATGGTTACTCTTGGGTTTGGTCTCTGCGGGGAATGGGCTCCCTGCCCAGCCTGTGCCATGGGAGCTGCTCTCGGGCTTCACATTATAGCACACCCTGGAGGGTGCTGTTCTCAAATAAAACCAGTGGTTCTCAACCTGGGTACTCTTCAGAATTAACTTACAGGATCTTAACACATACCAACTTGGAGTAGCCCGTACAAATGCTGATGAGGCTGGGCCTGGGTAGTTCCGGACATCCGCATCTTGCAATCTCCCAGGGAGCTTTAATGGGCTGAACCACGAACAGGGGTTGCAGTTCATATTCCTCAAGTGTGTTTAATTTGGAGCCACGAAGAAGTCCAGCTCCAGCCAAAGGCACTCCTAGGAGCAGGCCTGAGGCTCCCATGGGGACCCGGGGGAAATTAAGGCCCTTGTTTGGCAGCTGACAGTGGGATAACACTGTCCTTGAACTTAAGCCCTGGAAAGGAACCCAGAGGCTGCCTGTTCTAAAGCCCCTTGAGGAGGGTCCTCCAACCTCAGTCTGCGGAAACAAGCTTTTCAGACCACAGGCCGGATGCAAGCCCCTTGGAGGTCAGCCTTCCGCAGTGGGCCTCCCCTTGTCCTGCCCGCTGCCCATCTCCTTCCCAAGCAGGTCACTGGAGGCTGAGAACCTGGCTCTTACAAAAACAAACGCCCTCCAGCCTTCACTAGCTAAGAAAAGGGCAGGCCTGGGGCACACACCCAGGGCCCTCCTCTCCCAGCTCCACTCTCCAGCTCCAACTTCCTCCACAGCTGTCTGACCTTTCCCTCCAACAAGGAGAGAAGGGCGGGTGTCTCCTCACTCCTGAGCTGCAGTGCAGCGCAGTGGCGGAAAAGGTGGCTCTGGAACCATCTGAATGCACACCGCAGCTCCACCCTCTCTGTGTGGGCTTAGATGTGAGCAGGCAAAGAAATGAAGGCTCTTGGGAACAGCCTCATCTGTAAGCAGGGGATAGAAACTGCCCAGACGTGGGGCGGTGTACATGGAGAACCCAAGGACTGGCTTCTAAGTGCTGGCTGTGATGCTCCCTGCCACCTGCCACCCACCTCTTTCCCTTCCCACCTTCACCCAGGCCATCCCCACCTGGCTCACATTCCTACCTTCTTCCCTCCTTCCCTCCAAGGCCCAAGCTGGTCCCCCAGCCCCTCCCTGCTCTTCCAGAAAGCCTTTGTGGATTATTCCAAATGGCATGCCTAGAGGAGTCTCTACGCTCCCCAGAATTCAGGCCTAGAGGAAGATGGGTCACCCTCGAGGCCCCCATGTTGTGACATGACTACTCGTAATAACCATTGTCTCTGCTGAGAGCTCAGTAAAGCCCATCACCATCCCCTGCCCTTCCCACCGATTTTGTCATTTAACACAATATTCCTATGTGGTAGGTATTATTTTTTCCTCCATTTTGCAGACAAGAAAATCAAGGTGTTATGTACTTTCCTAAGGTCCCACAGTTGGTGATCTGGGAACCGGTGCTAGGTTCCAAGCATGTGGTTCTGAGGCTATGTGTCCCAGTGGCTGTCTGGGTTCAAGGTCCACCTCTGCCTCTTAATGGACTGCAACCTTAAGCAAGTTGCATAACCTCCTTATGCTTCAGCTTCCTTATGTATAAAATAGGAGCAGTAATAGACCAGCCTGCTAGGTTGCTTTGATGATTGAATAAAACACACACACACACACACACAATGACTGGAATAAAGGAAGTCTATATAAAGTATGTGGCCATTAACATGACCCATTCCACCATCCTCATTTTATAAAAGGAGATCTTAAGGTCCACAGCCACAGAGTCAGTGGTCTAGCTGGGCCCTCAGTGTCCTCCTCTTTCCTGATAGCTCTTCTTTCCTTCTGCTTAATTTAATGCCAGCCCTATCCAGTAAAGCTCTACCCCTTGACTCAGGGAGGGCAAAGATAGAGATGTGAGATCCTCTTCCCTCTTCTAACAGGCCATGAGAGGGGAAAGTCTTCATTCCTCTCTCTCTCTCTGTCTCTCTCCCTTTCTCCATCCCTCCTTCCCTCCCTCAGAAGAGACCTGTGCCCTCACTCTTGAAGAACCCTTCATACCCTGCCCCCTCTAGGCCTAGCCTGCCCATCCCTACCTTCACCTGCCCAGTGAGAGGCGCCTTCTCCTCCCCTGAATCCCCAGTACACGGGCTCCAGCTCTCCCCACTGACTCTGACCTCTCTGAACTTGACTTCAGGGCTCTCGTGTCTGCCTGCATTCCCTGACCCTGGCCTTGCCCTCACTCCACCCAGGCCAGATACCTAAGATTTCAGCTTCTCCTGTGAGTCCAAGAGTGCAGGGAAGGTGAGAGAGCAGAGCGGGGCCAGGGAGTGGATGAACCAGTGAGCTGGGGGGCGAGTGAGTGTCCTCCACGGGCTTCAGGTCCCCCACCCAAGTTCAGGTCTGGGAGTGACCTGTGTCACTGCTGCTCCACAGGGTCCCTGAGGAGGGCCCGATGGGGTCCTGGGGAAGTTGCAAGGATTCTAGCCCAGTGGGGACTGGCCACAGCTGTTCCCCTACCTCCACCTCCTGTGGAAATGGACTTAAAATGTGCAGACACTCACTCCCTGGGACAGCCAGCCCCCAGGATGGCTCATCCCCACACCCCAGACGGGGCTACAAACAGGGGCACTCCGTCCCCCCAGAGGTCAGGCACCTGCCCCCTGGCCTCTTGTTCCTATGACTCCCTTAGCCTGATTCACCCACTCTCGGTTCTCAGCTGCGGTCACATGGCCACCCATCCTGGGGGGCCAGCTCAGGGGTTCTCAGCTTTAGCTTCTCACTTGAACTTGCTGGGAGCTTCTGAACCTGACAGAAACTGTGTGAGGTTCTGACTGAAGCTGCAGGATCGTGGTTTGAGCACCTTCTTCTAACAGCTCTCCTGGCAATCCTGACGTGCAGCCAGGTTTGGAAGCCAAGGATCTTGGTTCAATGCCACCTTCCCCAGCAGCCCCTCCCCATCTCATCACGGAGGACTCACCTCTTTCCCATCCTGAGCACACTCCCCAGCACTAGTCAGCCCGTCCCAGAGTGGTGACTGTCCCCACATCTGTCTCTCTCTTGCTTCAGCCAGGTCACCACTATGGGCAAGCCTGTCTTGTCCTCTCTCAGCCCAGGGCTCGATAGATGGGTGTAATTAATGGCATCCAGCTCTCCCTGCAGTCCCTGCCCCGGCCCCACCCCCAACCTCTACCCTTGCCTCCTGGACTCCTGTGCTGCTCCACCCTGAGACATAGATGCAGGAACAATGGCTCTGGGCTGGGAGGCAGGACACCTGCAATCCAGACCCACATATGTGCTCTGAACATGGCCTGCCCTCAGCAGCCCACTTCTCCATGAAACCCTGGGACGGGAAAAGTCTCATTTCTTTGAGTTTCCTCCATCTATACCCATCTGGAAGAGGGTCACATCTGGGCTCCCTTCCTGAGTGTCCCTAGTTGGTGGGGCCCAGCATTCACTTTTGCCGTCAGTCAGGGCTAAGCAGTGTCCACTGGCCGGTGGGGCAGGCAGGCCCAGCCGGGAGCAGTGCCTTCCCAGCCAGTCTGCACGGAGAAGCAGCTGGCTGTGGAGTTGGGCCCAGTGGGACCACTACATTTAACTGGGCTAGAGATTAATAAAGTCTTCAAACAGATGGTGCTCAGAAGAGCTGGGCGGATCTGGAGGGAAAAGCGCATCCTTCTGGTCTGAGCAGAGAGCCTCACCCTTGGGTAGACCCGCAGCCAGCCCTCCAGCAACCGAGGCAGGAGCGAGGCTGGAAGGGCCGCTGGGATGCCCCAGCCAGCCCCTGAAAGGCCCTCAGACAGAAGGCAGAGGGAGTCTTCACCTCTTTGGGCCTGGGATCCCATCTGCAAAGCAGGGGAGTTGGGAGGGGAGGGTGACATGGGACCACTGGGGCTCATCAGGGCTGCATCAGTCCCTGGGGACATGTGAAATGTTGGGAGGCACTTTTTGTTTATCCTTGGGATCAGGGGTGTTATGGACATTTAAGAGGACAAGCTAAGGATGCTAAATGTCCTGCAGTATGTAGCTCCATCCAGCACAGGGCATGGTACCCCCACCACAGATGTGGCCAGCCCTGCACCAGACAGTCTCTGAGACTGGGAGCTTGCTGCTTTTCCCCCTGGCTTCTGATGGAATGAGCAGAGAAGACAGGAAATGACCCTATGCTCTGCCCTAAGCTGACCAGGTGCTCCAGAGCCCAGCTGCCAGCAACAGCTGCGTCCCTGCTGCCACCAGGCCCCTGTGGCCTGCTAATAAGCTTTCTGACAGCCACTGCCCGGCCCAGCACCAGCTCTATCATAGCCTCTAGGTGAGAGAAGGTGGTCACATCCAGCCACCCAGGACAGCCCTGAGCCACCCAGGACAGACTAGCTCCAAGCAGGGCAACCCCTGCCTCACTGCTCAGAGCAGATGAAGGACACCATCTCCCAGAGACCTGCACCCTCTGCCACCCCGTCCAAGGTGGACCTGGGGCCAGGAAACTGGTGCTAAAGGCCAGCCTGCATGTTCTGGGGACACCGTGCCCTCCCAGCCACCCGGCTCACCTGGGGAGGAATCGTTGAAGCCCAGCAGGTCATTGGCCCTCTGGATCTTCTCCAGGCACAGGGCCTGCTCCTTCTTGAAGATGCAGTCGGAGTGCATGGCGGTGGCCTGCAGGGGACACATGGTATGGATGGTGGGAGGCCCACCCATGAGGCTTCCCACCTAATCCCAGGGGCGTGTCCTAGAGAACATGGTGTGTGTGTGGGGGGGGGGGGGGCAGAACCAGGAAGAGGAGAGTGGCAGAAAGACCTCAGGGCCAGCAGGGGGACATCCTCTTAGTCATGAGGGCCACGAGGGCTCTTCTCAGTCACCAGCTCAATGCCTGGCCTTGGGCAGATCCCACTCCCCTCCTGGGTCTCGGTTGCCACATCTTATAATAATTTTAGCAATCCCATATGTAGCACTTTACTAAGTTCATGCTTTATTCTGAGCGTTGTGTGTGTGTGTGCACACACACGCACACACAGACACACATATATGTATGCATATATCTTAGAAGTATTAGGAAGTATTATTTTTTATCATTTTCCATATGTGAAAACAAGTAAAGAGATATAAAGTTACTTGCTCAGTGTCACATGGCTTAGTAGACCGTAGAGTCGGGATCTGAACCCAGATGTTCTGGCTCCAGAGACCACAAGGATCTAACTACTTAGGGGGAAGCAAGGGGTGGGGGCGGGCTCAGGGTCTCTTTCCCCAGGGGGGCTCGTGAGGAAGTGGCGCCCTCTAGCTGCTGCAGGTGGAGGAGCAGCGGCTGCAGGCCAAGAGGCCCACTCACCACTCTTCCTGGACTGAGAGGGAAAAGTGAGGCTCAGAGGAGTTAAGGAAGCGCAGCCCAAGGTCAGGCAGTGGTTGCTGGCAGTTTTGGATTCTAGCTCGGGATCAAGTAATTTCACAGCCATGCATGCTATCATGACAACTGCCTCTGCACGCTGTCACTTTAACTCAACTCCCAGGCAGGATGGTTTCCCAGGGGACTGTCAATGCGTGGAGAAGCAGTCACCAGACATCGGAGCTGCCAAGGGCCATGTTCAGGGACACTTCCAATCCCAAATGCTCACAGATATGCAGGCAGCTCCCCCAGAGAGGGACGCACTTGTCTGTAATCACACAGGGAATCAGAACAAAGACCTGGACCTCTGCTGGTCCAGAGCAGTGGGGCCAGTACTTGGGAAGCCTCCTCTTCCACTCTCTGTCCTCATCCTTGCTCAGAAAAGACATGAGCAGAGAGCAGCCTCCTGGATTCAAATCTGGCCAGGCCTCCTAAGCTGGAGACGAGAAGATCAAAAGACCCTTCTGCAGCCCTAACCAGGATGCCTGCATATGGCTGAGCAGGCTGTGTACTGCACAACTCCAAAGGTGGCCACGCATGCCACTATCATAATAAATTTGAAATTTCAAATTTATTTGCTCTAATCAGTCCAGCATCCTAAGGAAGGGCATTCTTCTGATTCACACAAAGGTGCTAGATGGTCCAGTGGGGTGTTGGCAGAGATACCAGTCAGGTATCTCAGCTTGAGTGAGGACACAGAAAAGTCACAGGTTCTCTGGGGAAAGCCTCAGGTGAGCCTGAGCTGCAGATTCATGGAGGGGAGGGTTCCGGGCCTTACCACAGGCAGCAGGAGGAGTGCAGCCAGGGGGACCTGCAGGATACTGGCCATGGTGCTCCTCAGCCGGCACTGCTGGCCTCCCACGCCAGCAGCCGCTGCTCAGCCCCCAGAGGTCCACAGGCTAGGGAGGAAGGAAAGGCGTGAGTCCTGGGTTGTTCCCCCACCCTCCTGCAACATGGTCCCCAGCCTCCAATGCAAACTCCCTCCAGGCCTGCAGCCGTCCATCCTATTCTTTCGACTCCTACAAACAGGTGAGGCCCAGGGTCTACATCCTCTAGATACGGAGGATAGAGTGGGGTGCAGGCTGGCTCAGCCCCGACAGTCTACTGGAACGGTCGGTCTGGAATGGCTTTCTCATCTGCCGTAGACCAGTTGTCTCCCCGACCTTGGCATGCTACCCCTTCCTCCACAACAAATGGACAGCTTTGCCTAGCACCGCCTTGCCCACCCAAAGGTGACACTTCCCTGTCTCCCTGAGCATGTGATCAAGCTGGCATCTAAGGAATGCGACTGGCAGCAGGAGAGCCTCGTGGGCAGCATCCCGTACACAAGGGCTTGGCATGCTCTCCTCTCCTATTTTCTTGCCCTTCCCGAGTGTGGACAAGGATGCCAGCTGTGGGCGGGGAGAGCAATGCTCTGAGAGAAGCCAAAACCACTGAGTGCAGCTAAGCAGTCTGGATGGCCTACCTCGCCCCAGACTGCGCTGCAAGGGAAATAAACTTCTACCTAACTTACTCTCTCTTAAGGACCCATTTGTTCCAGCCACTTAGGCTGGCACCTTATAGAATATACCTTCCTTTTGCCCTGCCTCACCCCACTTTGTCCTCAAGAAACAAGTGACACAGAAAGCACAGTGACTACTAAAGGGTGTGCTCAAGCCTCAGAGCTACCCGGACCCCCCCAAGAAGACAAACATGCAAAGACTGGGACCCTGGCAGGGACCAGAGAGGTTACAGGGAGTCAACTGAGGAGCTGCAGGGACCCAGCTCACTCCCAGCAGAGGACATTCTGCTTCTGAAACTGATGACGAATACATATACCCTGCAACCCAGCAACTCCACATCTGGGAAATTTTTGCAGTTGAATCAAAAGAAGGATATGCAAGGCTATTTACTACGGCACCATTTAAAATAGCATCTGCGACAAAGAAAAAAAAGGGGGACAGAGCAGCAGCCACCCAGCACTCACTGCTAAACAGGCTCTGCAGGGCCACACAATGGAATGCCACACACTCAGCTTAAAATCGTCATCACTGTTATTATTAAATTGCTATAGAAAAGGTTGAGTAGGCTCAAATTAGGGGCACCGCTACCTGGCACGTGTCTGGTTTGGGACAAAAGGGGCTGGAGCAAGCGCTGCCCCTGCATCGCAACCACTAGGACTTGCAAGTGCATGCCCAGTGTGCACAGCTGCTGTGACCCCTGGTCCCCTGTGCCCGGCTCTTGACCTAACCATGTCTCCGTCCATCTCTTCTGGCCTCCCCTACAGCCTCTCCAAGCTCAAGCTGGTGATGAGCAAGCACCCAAAGGAGAAATAGAAGCTGCTGCAGGAAGGCTCAACAAAAGGGGCCCCCATGTCATCCCCAGCCCAGGGCTCACTCAGAGATGCTGAGACAGGCCTTGGATACCCCAAGAGACACTCTGAGAAGTCCAGTGCTGACTGCGGAGGGAGTCAGGGAGGATGGAAAGCACTGGCCCCAGCACTTGCAGACACCAAGGACAGGCTACACCAGACACCCAGGCTTCCACGGCCTATACCCTCTCCCAGCTTCCTACACACCCCTGGTGGCTACAGGCTGCTTCTGACATGGCCCTGGGGGGTTCCCAAAGGACTCAGTCACCTCCATCTGCCCTGGGAAGTACAAGATTCTGCTTAAAGAGAGATGGCCTCCTGTCCTTCCTGCTGGGATAGAGCAGTGCCTGGTCCCAGTGATCCTCAGCAGGGGCTGGAGGCCATCTCTCCAGGACAGCAGAGCTGGGAGAGAAGATACTGCAAGGAAGAAGCCTCTGAGATCAGGGGGTGACTGCCCTGGACCTTGGACAACCTCAGGTCAAAACAGAAAAACAGAGCTCCTTGTCCTCAGGGACCGCCTGAGCCGGCACTAGCACGGCCCACTATAGGACAGGGCTGCCCCCACATGGTGGCCCATGCCTCCTCCCCAAGTCGTGACTGCTCAGCCCAGTCTGTGTGCAGCCTGGGCTGCCCACTGGAGTCACCTGCAGAGCTTCAAAGGACACCTCCGTGAGAGAAATCAGAGCCTCTCCGGGTTCAGTCCTGTTCTGTGTTCCCAGGTGGCATCGTGCAGAATTAGAACTATAAGGGTTTGTCTTAACCTTTAGTAGAGGCCAGGAAGTGTGCACACAGAGCTGTGGCTTGAAGGGTTCCAGCAGGAGGCGTACGGCAGCAGGGGCACGTGAGGGCTGGTTGATCTTCAAATTCTCTTTCTGATCCACACGCTGTGCGCACACGCACAAATACACAGAAACAGGTCCACGGAGATGACAATAAAGACATGTCAACCTCACAGAGACAAAAGAGACACGGATCCCCAGGGCTCCCACTTGAGAGTCTCAGTACAAACTCCCAAGATGGGATACACACTGTGGAACAGGTCAAAAACAGGGAAACAGAGCTCCTGGTCCTCAGGGACCCCCTGAGGACCAAGCAGACAATGCCACACACACACACACACTCCTTCATGGTGACAGACACACACTCTTAGAACCAAGTCACGTGCAGAAGCAAGCAGCCGAGACTGGGACATTCAGACACATCTATCAAACAGGACATGTATGTTGATGCACATGCTCTGTCTGTAGTCATCCAGACACATCAAGGCATCGAGATACTCATGAATGCAGACCTGGGTGCAGGCACGGGCACGAGTGCAGGCACACATGAGCACGTGCACACAAGTGTGGGAAGGCCTGGGCTGGCAGGGTGCGCGCCCTGCTCTGCAGGCAGCTCCTCCACCACCGCTTCAGTGGACTGAGAAGAGCCCTTCCCTTCCCTTCCTGGCAATTTGCATCACCACCAGGCTGCTCAAGCTACCACAGGAGCCAGCAGAGAGATGTCCCAGTCCAGTAGCACGGGGTAAGGGAGCTGGGGGCTCTCCACACAGCACCTCCTCTGGAACCAGACCCAGAGTTCTTGACACCAATGCTGCACTCTCCTGCATCCCTGCCACAGCCCATTCCCTGTGCAACTGGGCAGGCACTCCCCAGCAAAGACAGGGAGAGAGGACTTGGGGCTCCAGGGCCTTGATTTCCCAATCACACACCTCTGGGGACCTCAGATCACTTTCTATAGCCTCCCCAGGGTGCTAATACCCTCAGTCCCTCCAGGCGCTTCTGTCCCTGCCCACACCCTGCACTGGACCTGATGGGCAGAGCCCAGAATTTGCAAACTTAGGTCACCTGTCCTGTCCCCAAACCAGTGTTCTTCCAGGCACTTGTGTGGCTCCGCTGCCCAAGGACAGTCTTCTGAGGACCCCAGTCTGCCACCCTATCAGCTGCTCCTCCTCCACCCCATCTCCACTGCCTCTTCCTCAGGTGACCCACTCCATAAGGGCCAAGCCACCACAGCTCTGAGGACGGTCATCAGGTTCCTGGACCCAACCACTTAAAATGTCTCAGGATGATTTGTTTATCCATGTCCCATGACATTGCTCTTGGGTCTAGGCTCTGCAGGGCAGTGGGCTTTGAGGACAAACTCTGCCTCGGGACATTTAACATGGCAGACAAAGGAATCCTTTTTGCTAGAGTTTTTAGCCTCAGGATCTTAGGCAAGTGGCTTGAGCCTTCTGTGCCTCCATTGTAACCTCTGTAAAATGGGAGTAACCGTAGTGCCTGTCTCCTGGGTATTACTTCAAGGCCTCAACGATTTACAAAAACTGTAGAGGGTTCTGGCCCCCAGTGGGGGCTCTCTGTGTTATCAGTACTGTTGACTCACGGCTTCCTGGGCGGGCTTTGCGCACCCTGGCGGCTCTCCACCCCCAACAGCCTTCTAAACCAACCGTTATTGGCCAATGGCTAATATCTATCAAACACTCAGTCTGTGCCAGGCTGTCTTCCAAGTAATAAATGTGCAATAACTCCTCCAACCTCCTGAAGCCTCTTAAGTAGTTCCTAGCACCCTCCTCATTCTATAGAGGAGGCGACCAAGGGAGACTAAGCGACTCCCCCAAGGTCACACTGCATATTCATGGCGGACCAGGGAAGTGAGCCCAAGCAGTCTGGCTCCCAAGTCTGTGCATCCTGGGCTTCTGCTGCTCTGCTTCTGGCAAAGGAAGACAGCTCAGAGCCTTCGGGTGCCCCAGGGTGACCCTGACCCTCAGGGCTGATCAGGCCCTCTGTGACCCCCTGCCCACCCATCTCTGTTTCCCTCCTTAGGAAGAGTCAGTGATCGGCACGCATCTCAGGCCTGAAGCAGACCTGAAAGGCCACCTCCCCATGGTCCAGCTGGGGAAACTGAGGTCAGAGAAGGGGAGACACTTCCCAAGGTCACACAGCGTGGTACCCTGGAGGTTGGCCTAGCAGGAATGGGATGCGTAATAGATAAGTGAGCCAAGAGGAGTTTGAGGGGACCCAGTGGCACACCATCCCCCCTTTAACTGGGGTTAGCCTGACCTCCTCCAGCCCCCTAAGCTCAGTGATGAAGCCTGGAACTGGCAGCAGCAGCAGCCGCCGTGTCCTCCTATGAGTCGCGGCTCGGGCAGCGGTGGCCCAGCACACGGAAGACACGTCATCAGTCAGCACAGGAGCAGGCGGTGACTCACGGGGCGCTGCTCTCCACATCTGAGCGGGAGGAGATTCAGAGACCCTCCAGCCGCCCCCTCGCTGCACCAGATCCAGCGGGAGCCCTTCTGCAGCACCCCAGCCGCGGGCCAGGCTCCTGGCCAGCGTCTCTTGTCCCTCTCTAGCAGCTGGTCAGGACCTCAGAGGGAAGCTCCGATGTCTCCAGGTCTCCTTGCAGCCAGCCCTAAGCAGCACTGGGTCTTCTGCCCTACAGATGCCCCTAGGCCGGTGTGAGGACTGCACCATCCTCTCCCTCTCCTCTGGCCACAGGAAAGCCCTTCCTTTCATACAGCAGTGTCAAGCTTAGACACCA